GTCAGGCATACCCCAAACCCTAAACTTTGAGCCCCCCTGGCACCAGCAAGGTAACCTGAAAACACCCATAGCCCCTAGACTTGACAGGTGGCAAGAAGGAGGTTGAGGTAAAGCAGCGGACCAGTAGTGTAGGGGTTTAGGGTTTACGGTATTCGGGCCGTCAACTGTGAACGATGCTCGCAAACCTTCAACTTGAACCGGAAGTCCTCAAGTGCGAGCTCGAACTTGTGAATCCTACATCCTGAACTCCAAACCCGGAGACTCTTGCCAAAGATGACTAAGGGAGAGGGTCTTAGAGAGAGTGCTCTGCAATTTGGGTTTCCGGACGAGGGTGGACTCAGCGTTCAGGGTCAAAGACAAACTTTGTGGCATCGCAAGTTGCTTTGGAAAAGTAGCGCTGCGGCGTGACAGCAAGATTTCAGACGCGGTCTTCCAAGCAGGACGGCCCGAAATGCTGTGCAGGCGGTGCAGATCCCACAAAGCTTGCAAGTTCATCGGAGGCCGCGGTGCTCTGAATTCCCCGCGGGGTTGGTTCTTTGTTTTGGAGCCGCGGCTTTTGGCACCCAATAGGAAAAGGGAACAACAACAGGACAACCAACCGAAACTTGTGCTTCAACAGCCCGCAGATGCCAAAGTTTCGTCATAAGTCTGGACAACATCCTGCAAACCTGCAGCAGGTCAGGTTCGAATTGTTTAGCCCTTGTGCTTTTGGGTTGATTATTTGGCGGAGCTGATGCCATTTGTGTGGGTGGTTGTCAAAATTAGGGTCCTTTTTTGAGTCTCTACTAGAGTATGAAACCTATTATTTAGGGTACCCAAAAAGGGACCATCATTTTGACAACTACCCATGTGCATGAGGACTTTTGGGGTCAGTCAGCCCGAAACCTCTCAGGCGAGGGCAGGCGTCTTGTTCTTAGTCTTATACCGGTTCTACTAGGGTCTTGTAAGAGGTTTGTAGGGTTTCAGTGCCGGTGCCTGAAATACAAACCCTAAACCCTAGAAGCTGCCCCCACCCTGTAATAGTGGTGTAATAGGAATACAATAGGGCCCTAATATAATCCTATATAATCCTTATGGTCACTATTACAGGGTGGGGGCCCCTTCTAACCCTAAACCCTAAACCCTAGAGTTAGCATCCGTTTCGTGCTCTGCCTCCTCTGTCCCGAGTGACTTTCCGAGTTTTCTACGTCGAGAGCAAGCCTGAAGATTCAAGCCTCACAGGCATAAGGGGAGTTCTCTAAATTAGGGTCTCTTTTAGGGTCCTGAATTCATGTTTAGATAAGTTAGATGTATATATATATATATATATATATATATATGCAAATCTGTATATGTGTACATATATATATATATATGGATCTGCATGTGTATACGTAGATTCTTCCTGACATCCCAGAAGCAGAGGTTATATGTCTCGGCGAAAGCATCGTGCGGATTGCTATGCATGCGACGAGATCTCAAATCGCGACAGGGTTCATGGGATGGATGTGCAGCAGAGTGGGACCATCAGCGCAGTTCTCAGTCTGAGCCATTCCCTTCCTGGACCTACTCAGCAAGTCTTACGGTTTTGGGTTCCGGGTTTCTAGAAAGGCTTGTTGATATCTGAGGCCCCAAGCTCTGACCCCCATGCCCAGCAGCCGTGAAGTAATGCTCTGAAGCCATGGTCACTGTGATAAGGATCAGGTGTTCAGATAATCCGAGAGGTTTCGTAATTATGGCAACTGCAAAACAAGAAGCAGCAGTTCCTTGGCATGTTGGAAGGTGTGACAAGCAGGGTGGAAACAATGACAGACATACAGACAGGCAAACACTTCACAGAGACCCAGGCTGTGTATGTGTGCATGTGTATTCTCGTAGAATATACATGAAACATGTATATATATGCATATAACTATGTTGTTTCATGCATGTATGCGCACATGTCATGCAAGGTTGGAAGCCTTGGTCAAGAGTACATCACCCGAAATGGGGTTGGGACTCGGCGTTTGGTCTGACCTGCGACATGTACTATTGTGTCATTGCTTTGATGGTGACATTTTTCCGGTTAAGTTAAGTACTCCTCTGACTTGTTTCGTCATCAGTTTGCCACTGCTACATCTGCCTCGTGTTTCTCATCATCATGGGCATTGTCTTCGATTTCAGCACGCGAACAACATCATGATCAGCATGACTATCACGTCCTTTTTTTTTTATGGTAGCTGTACTTTCGCCACCGCTGCGATCTCGGCAAGGTTGCGCCATGATCGACGCAGGCAAAAACAAGGACTCGGCCCTCCACGCTTCGGAGATTGGGGCTTCAAGGTACAGGGGGTCTGGGTTTAGTCAACCCTGAACCCTGAACCCTACGGGAGTTTTGGGTAAAGTGGAAGTGTCGGCTTTGGGGTTCGGATGAGGTCTTCTGCCGGCAGCCAGAATCGGGCCTTTTTTTGCCCAGGAGTTGAGCGGCGAAAACCCTCGAAACCTCACAAGGCCCGAAAGCCAAGCCAGCCCCCAAAGGCGTTGGTAGGGCAAAACCTAAACCCTAAACCCTAAGCCATACTGATCTTGGTAGGGGGTTACTGGCGGACCGCCAGGATCTCAAGATCGAGCGCGGGGAGCTTAAGTCCCCCAGTTTTGGCTTTGTTCAGGGAGTGTTTGGGGTTCAGGGTTCAGGGTGGCGGGTTTCGGGTTGAGGGCTTGGGTAGGGTTGGGTTTTAGGCTGGATACCCAGGGCTTGGTGAGGTTGTTTTTGGCATTTAGCAGGTTGGGTTTCAGCCTGAAAGGCTGCATACGGTTTAGTTTCTTTGTCCAGTGAGCTTGACGGTCTCCAGGTTTCGAGTGTGGATGGAGATGAAAAGCTTTCAAGTTTGGTGTTCCAGGCTTCGCACGCGTGTTTGCATACTGTAGGCAAAGTACAGCTGCTGCTTCTTCTTCCTAGCAGCGGAGGTTCGAGTTAAGCTTTTCCTCCATCCAACTTTTTATGGCAGCATCGATAGCAAGCCATTGATTTGCCACTGAAAGGGTTCTAGCCTGCTTCGAAACAGCAGACTTGGGCCGCTTGTCATCCCGGAAAGGTGTCAAACTTATGGTCCCTTTTTGGGTACCCTGAATATTAGGTGCCGCATTATAATAAGGATCCAAAAAAGGGATCATCCTGATTTTGAAAACCACCCAATGCAGAAGTCATCGCGGCCAAACGAGCTCCGGATGGAGGGGGCTTAGATCCCCTATACTAGAACACTAACAGAGTACGAACCACTGACGACCCCGCATTTCCCGGGAAGCATGTGACCTCCCGCTCACTTTCTGAGGCAAGGTAGTAGACGAGGCAGATGCAGATGAGGAGGCGCGAAGGCTGCGCGAGTCCCCTGGCTTTTCTGGGAACAAGCCGGCTGGTTCATATGTGCATATGCACTCGATAGACTCACCAACTACGGAGACCAGACTGCATTCCGCGTATGGCACCTTTATTAAGATGCGGCTATCATCTTCAACTTGTGACGTGTTTCGCTACACGCGTTTCACGACGTAGCGTACTGTATCATTGCAAGTACACATATTCTCATATATACATGTATATAAATGTGTGCACATCAGTTCCATGGTCTTATGTACAAGCAGATTGAGAGCTGTGAAGTTGCACTGGACGGCTTTTGTTCGAAGTAAGTATGACATGTGTCGTTGCATGTCAACGACTAAACCATAGTACAGATACATGTAAGGTATCAGGAATTGAAGCAAAGTCAACAATTAGGCAGGTGAGTAAGTGATTGAGTAAGTAGGTAAGTACGCAGGTCGATAAACAAACAAACCTTACTGCATGCCTAGATACTTAAGCAAACAAATTTGCGAAACACAAACATGAACATGAACAACGAAAAATCAACTGGTAAGCACACACACACATATATATATATATAGATATATATATATATATATATATATATATACATACACAGATAGATGGGTACGTAGATAGATAGATAGCTAGATAGACAGCTACATAGATATTGTAGATAGATAGACAGATGGTTTGTATATGTCACACATACATATCCCTGCAGTTTAGATGTTTTTGCAGATGCGTGTGTGGATATTACAGTATGATGGGTACGCGAAAACACGTCTCCTGTTTCCACTGGCAATCGGTTCATGTGGTTGTATCTACTGCTAAACCCCTAGCAAATATGGTCAGCTTTGGCAGGAAAGGCCCTGCACATATCAGAGAACAAGACTCAAGCCTGCGGGAGGGCAGATCTTGTGATCCTGCTCGGTTCTGTGCTCTCATGCATATGAGTACTTTTTATTTGAATTCTTCTTCGATTGCAATGTTTCGTTTCTTGTTTTAGCAAGCTGCGCAAACCAGCACCCCAGAAAACCAAAATCAGTGTCCACCGCAACATCCAGCAGTCTGGCTTCGGAAGCCTTTCAGGAACTGCTTCAAAGTTTTCTGTCATCTCACCATCTGCCAGCAAACCAGGACTACTTGTCTGTTCTCATTCGTCTCGGTTGCTTCGGTGATCAACTCGACTTTGTTAGAGGATCGGGAGACTCTAGCAAGAAGCCCAAAACCCTAAACGATCAGGACACAAACATCGGCAGCCGTAGATACAAGCCACTTCTTTGTTTTAGACCCGCAGTTGCTGCATCCTCTGGGATCCTCCAGGTGGTGGCTGAATAGGGTTGGGTGTAGGGCATGATCTGCATGCTTGTCAAGACATAGCTCTTGTCCTCGTTCAAGCGTCGAAGTTCACCACTCCACACTAAATGCCGCGGATTCAGCACATTCAGCATGTTGAATCGCAGGAACAGGGAAAATCAAGAAGTGTATCTGCTTCATGAATCTTGAATGGGTTATGGGGCTGATATTGGGGGGTAGACTCAAGTACTAAGTCAAAAGTTCATCCAACCCCTACAACATGTCATCCTCATCCTGAACGACTATTCGCTCGCACAAAAGGTTTTGGCTGTAGAGGCAATCCAGAGCGCCATTGCTTCGTAGTTAGGATTGTCCGTCAGTGATGGCAACATCTCTGGCTCTTGCTATCTTTGGAATGTACACGGTCCAGGGAAGTCTCATGGGCCTGGCAGAAAACACTTTGCCACGCTTGTTGAATCGAGGGAGCGCAAACCTGGATGCAAGCCAGGTGCTTGCAATTGCCAAGTTGCCTGCGGCGTTGAAAATCTTCGCTGCGCCATTGATGGACTTTCTTGGACCCCGTCTGCCAGGCAACTTCAAGGGTCTGGTGGTTCTATTTCAAGGCTTAGCTCGCAGCAGTCTTTTCTTGCTGGCACCGTTGATGAGTCCCGTTGAGCGTCACGCCAGTGCGCATCTGGCCGCTGAATTGCGCTGGCCACTGTTTTGGGCAGCATTCTTCGTGGCAATGGGTGATCTGGTGCTGGATGCATATGCCGCAAGCCAATTCAAAGAGGATTCCAGCCATTTGCCAGCACTTGCCCAAGTCGCAGGTATTCTGGCAGGCAAGACTTCATCAAAATCTGGGTTCTTCTTGCTCCACAAGATGGACAGGTTAGACCTTCCCAGTTTTGTGCAAGTGCTGGGTTCACTGACCTTGGCTTGTATTGGGGGTGTTTTGGCTGTCGGTGGACGTGGAGACCTTCATGGACAAGGACAGTTCTCGTTGAGACAAACTTGGGAGTTCATGACCCGGCGTCCCAACATGGCTCACTGGCTGCTGTACCAGTTGCTGCTTCCGGCAATGTATCTTCACGCAGTCACCGTCTTGCCCAGCCGTTACGAGCAGCGACAGGTTCATGGTGAGGACTTGGCAGCATATGATATACCCTTTGCGATGCTCGTTGAGATCTTGCTTGTCTTCGCCTCGCGCATGGCGAACACGGACCGACATCCGCTTGGCTTCTTCGTCAAGGCTTACATCCTACAAGCATTGCTGATCGTTCTGATGCTATCACAGTACAGGCTGATGTCATCCACAGAGCCTCCCGGAATGACGCATTTCATCTTCACGTACACAATCCTCAACAAGACCCAAGACCTGCTTTTCTTCGTTTTTGAAGTGGGTGAATTTGCTTTCTACGATCGGGTTGCTTTGCTGCAGCCAGAGATGAAGTCGACTTTGATTGCTTTGCAAACCTCAGCTTTCAATTTTGCCGAGTTCATGCACTCTTGGCTCGCACCAAAGCTAGTAGATGCGGCATCCACCTGCAAACTGGAGGGTACCACAGGATATCTTCAGTGTGAGTTCGATGCATACCCTCTGGTCGGATCATCTCTGTTGATAGGCTCCTGCCTATTCTTGGCCGTGTCGTGGGGCAAGATCCACCGATACCAAGATGTGATGGATAAAGGCTGGGCCCCTCAAGAAGCCACAATCACGAGGAGCATGTTTGCTGGCCTCCTGCTGGTAAGTATGGCCATCTTCGCTGTGTGGCAAATCATCTGGGAATGAGACGCATCCGTGGCTGTAGATCCTGCCATCTTTTTAAACCTGACAGCTGGCAGACTGTCTCATGCGGAGCGCAAAGAGGTTCGATGTTGTGTCGTTCGGTGGCATCAGTTAGAAGCTGCCCCCACCCTGTAATAGCGGTATAATAGGAATATAATAGGGCCCTAATATAATCCTTATATTCACTATTACAGGGTGGGGGCAGCTTCTAAGGGATCAGATCTGAAAGCCTCACCCTCCCAACCCTAAACCCTAAACCCTAAACCCTAAACCCTAAACCCTAAACCCTAACCCAGGCTCGTAGATGCCGTGAGGCATCACGCAGCAGGCCAAGGCCGGCTTTGCTTTGGAGGGGGGCTTCGGGGGGTTTTTGGGGGTTTAGGCTTCCGTTTAAAGGATCTATAAGGGTTCTATAAAGGGAGCTATAAGAGCTTTTTGGGGCTAAGGGGTTCAGGGTTTAGGGGTTCAGGGGCGGTTTAGCGCTTAGGGTTTGGGGGTTTAGGGGTTTATTCAGGTGGTAAGGGGTTAAAGGTTCAAGGGTTTCAGGGCTGGTTTAGGGATGTTTAGGGTTTAGGGGTTTAGGGAAGGTTCTGAAGGTCCTGTTCGGGTTTCGGGTTTAGGAGGGTTTTCGGAAATCAGTTCGGAATTGTGATATGGATCCCAGTATCTAGAGCTTGTGTTGAGCCACTGTTTTAATCTACGCTTTCTGGCTGCACTTTCTTTGTTTGGGCGGGGCTTGAGGGTTTGAGATTTAGGGGGCACTGTGTGAGTTTGGGGCAGTCGGTGTGCAGCACTTTCGGGCTAAGAGCGCCCGCCATGTGCAGGCGAGTCGGGCAAGCAGGCCAGAGAGGCCTGTGAGGGTATGCTCCGAACTTATATACTATGGTGTATCATGGCATGTTATGGTATATTATGGTATCTTTTAGTACGTTATGGTGGATTATCCATAGCATTAAGGTGTGACAAAGACTTCCTGAAACTGCCCTGTAGCACGAATCCAAAGGACTTTGGCTGTGGTTCGGTGGTTCGGGGTGTGGCGGATTTGGAGAAGAGCAGGTCTGACGGTGTCTGTGTGCCACCTCCGGAGAACCCTTAGTGTTTCGTGTGTGGTCGGACAGCCCTTGGTAGCATCTCTTGGCGAACAGGCACGGAAGTTGCACTCTGCATGGTGATCCTTATGCGAAGCAGCTGGCCAAACTGTGAGCATTGGGTTTTGTTAGGTATCATGCACTGTCTCAGAGGAGCGGCTCGTGGTGTGGTTTATGGAAGCATTCCCCAAGTGACAAGCTTGCCGTTGAAAGCCTTAACTAGGGCCTTTTGCTCCGATACCCGATTCCTCCGGTTCTGAAGATATCATGGGCACAGCGAGCAGCCTTGTTTGCTTCTGCATCTTCTTGCATTATCTACGCCTGGGTTTCATCAGACTTCTTGGCTGTCAGATTAGCCAAGGCCCTCTGCGAAGGTTGCAACTCGCATATGGACGTTTAAGTGGAAGTCCGGCTATGGAGTTCACATACCTGTACCCGAAACCCCTGCTTACAGTAACTTGCCCGCACCCCCTTCCAGCTTGTGAAACGCGCTTGAAGGCTCATGGGACTTAGTAAGTAAGGTTATAAGTAGGTTATAATTAGGGTAACCCCACTTAGGGGACTTATAGCCCCAATTATAACCTACTTACTAAGTCCCATGATCCTTTAAGTAGAAGCCTGACATCCTTGCCGATGCTGCAGGATTTCGATTGGACAAGCAAAGTGGAGCAGCTGCTAGGTGGCTTGTCTGTTCTGACAGTGCCAAAGCACCTGCAGCTTCTGCTCAACCCTTAACACGAGAGCCCAAAAAGCTGCCTTCTCTGATCTGTGAGTCCTCAGCCGCAGCTTCATCGTCCGTCCGCACTTCTGGCCATTGTTGCAAGGTCTACGTTGTCTTACAACGGCTACTGCTTGCCCAGTTTGCTCGCTCTAGCGTCTTGTTCTTGACGTGGTTTCAGCTCAGGTAGCTACGACTTCTTCAAGCCACTGGAGGCCTCCAAGCGTTGCGTCGATGAGGGCTCAAGTTGGCAGGTGCAGAGTAGATTCATGTATCTGCACAGTGCATGCATAGGCAGAGTTGGAAATACATTAGCCTGCATGCGTGCATGGATGCGAACAGGCAAGTGTGCATGCTAGCAGAGGAAATGTTACAGACATAGACAGATATAGCAGTGAATGTATGTACTTACTGTGCAAACAGAAGTTGAAAAATGCGGAAACGCAGGTATTGGGTAACCAGTATGTGGGTGAATAAATGTGTGAAGTAACATGCATAATGGCTCAATTTTTTCTGCATCTATTGTGACGTACCTTTGTCCATTCTCATACACGCAGACGCAAGACCAGATGCTCGCGAAGACAGGAAGTGACCGAAAGACATGCGCGCAGGCAGACATGAGAGAGCGAAAGACACCGAGGGCATGCAGGAGAATTTAGAGGTCAGGCCAAGACGACCCTAAACCGTAAACCCTGAAACCCTGAAACCCTAAACCCCAAACCCCAAACCCTAAACCCTAAACCCTGAAACCCTAAACCCTAAACCCCAAACCCCAAACCCTAAACCCCAAACCCTGACCCTAAACCCCAAACCTTAAACCCTCGACCCCAAAGCCTAGACCCTGAAACCCTAAACCCTGAAACCCCAAACCCTAACCCCAACCCTAAACCCTGAGCCCTTAAAACAAAAAAACCCTGAACCCTGAAACCCTAAACCCTGAACTCTAAACCCTGAAACCCTAAACCCTAAACCCCAAACCCCAAACCCTAAACCCCAAACCCTGACCCTAAACCCCAAACCTTAAACCCTCGACCCCAAAGCCTAGACCCTGAAACCCTAAACCCTGAAACCCCAAACCCTAACCCCAACCCTAAACCCTGAGCCCTTAAAACAAAAAACCCTGAACCCTGAAACCCTACACCCTGAACCCTGAACTCTAAACACTGAAACCCTAAACCCAAAGCTTAAACCCCAAACCCTAAACCCTGAGCCCTTAAAACAAAAAACCCTGAACCCTGAAACCCTAAACCCTGAACCCTGAACTCTAAACCCTGAAACCCTAAACCCAAACCCTAAACCCCAAACCCTAAACCCTGAGCCCTTAAAAAACCCTGAACCCTGAAACCCTAAGCCCTGAACCCTGAACTCTGACAGCGCGGGAGGAAGTCCTGTTAGCCCGAGCCGCCTAGCGTTACAAACTCCTCTCTACCCCGAAGCCCTGGTCCCGAACAAAAACTACACACATTTTTGTATTGTACTGGATTATAGTGCAAATATATATATATATATATATATATATATATACATATACACACAAAGATAAATGAAGAAGTGTGTGTATATGTGTGTGTATATATATATATATATATATATATATATATATATATATGTATTACAGTATGTTTTCTACTCATAGCGTACTCTGTTACACCAGATTGTACAAGAATACACCATGATAAACCCTACAGCGCCAACCCGTGTTTTCAAGTTGACGTACAGTCGATTCACGGTATGGCCATGCCAATCCCGTGTTCAAGCCTTTGTACTGAAGCCTTGAAGCCGAAAGTCTCAATCTCCCGTGATGCAAAAACCCTGAATCTCTAAACACCAAGCCTTGCCATCGATCTGATCGTCATCGGAATGCCGATAGTTAAGCCTCTAGAGCCCAAACTCCAAAGCTTTGGAGGATCCCCTGGCCCTAGACTGTAAACCCTTAGGCCCTAAACGCTTCGACATGAAACCCTAAACTCTGGACCTTAACTCCCTAGACCGTAAGACCCTGAACCCTTGAACTGCGAAGCCGCATATCCTACACCTTTTAGACTTTGGGACCTTAAGACCCCGCTAAACCCTAAACCCCAAGCTCTGAACCCCAAGCCTAAACTCTAAACCCAAAACCCAAAACCGTAGACCCTAGCCTACAAACCCGGGAGGCTTTGCAGCCGGGCTTGGTGGGACGCCTGTCGAAGGAGGCTCTTTGGGCAGTTGAATCCTTTGGATTCAGGACGTTAGGATGTAGGTTTAGGCTTTAGGGTTTAAGGTTTAGAGGCCACGGTTTGGGATTCAGGACATTTGTGTAGGCGATCGGTGGTGCAAAACCAGCAATGAGGAGTACTGGTGCCAGTAGGATCTGTATTTGTACTCTGTAGATCGTATCACTTACTTCTCTCGGCTCTTTTCCGTGTTCTCAGCGGTTGAAGAAATAGACCTTTTGAGAACTCCACATTGACGGGGGCAGATTGGACTAGAAGTCCAGACGATGCAAGTTGACGAGAATCCGTACACCGTGAACCCTAAAATCCGACTGGCGCACGAACTCCGAACAGCAAAACCCAGAGAGCCCTGGTCTTGAACCGTCGCGTCAGGTGATCTACGAGGAGGTGCCGGCTGACGTCGTCATCTTCCGGCAGCAGGATGAGCCCGATGGCTGTTCCTCCTCGCAGTATTTGAGCAGTTCTTTCGGTCTGGTCAACACGGCATGACTGCGAACATAGTAAACCCCTCGAGCCTGCAATGCGGGCTTCGCATGCTGGTTGGGTGCTGTAAGTGGTCTCAAGTTGCCTTTGCATTGGGTGTAGTGTTTTGACTGGAGGTTTTCTGGGTTTGGGTGTAGGGTTCGCATTCGGGGTTCAGGGTTTAGGGTTGAGGGTTGCGGGCATCGTAGGGATCGAATAATTACCATTACTATTGCAATCCTTCATTGTCCGCCGTTGCCCTTATATGGCTATATACATATGTATAAGTAAATGTATGTATATATATATAGATATGTATGTATATATACCCATAAGTATATATATATATATATATGTATACACATATAGATATAAGTATGACTATAAGCATAAATTTATATGGCATGCTTTACCCCAACACCCTGTTGTGATCATTGAGGCCCCTGTATTGGCTGCAGAGCCGGTCTTCCGTCGCAACACCCCAAACCCTAACCTGTACTTCAAAAAGCTCCTAAACCTTGGGCAGTGTGCCCCCACCATGGAACGGTTTGGGGTTAGGGTTTCGGGCAGTCCACATTGGGGATCATGTTCAGGGCTAAAGCTGTACTTCAAGAAACTCCTAAACCTTGCTGGGGGGATCATGGGTCTTAGTAAGCATGGTTACAAGTACCTGGGTTATAAGTCATTGTAAGTATAGCTGCCTTAAGTATAACCTTAGTTTATAAGTACACGATCCTCTGAGTGAGTATTGCCCCCATCCTGCAGCAGTCGATATTGGGGATCATATTAAGGGCTTTTTGGAATTGTGGTTTAAATACTATCACAGATACAGACTCGGGGCACTACCAAACCTAAATGGGGAAATGGAGGTCCTCTTCTGATCCCCATCAAATTCAGGAACCCGGAATCCTTGCATTGGGAACTGAACAATGAGTCGTGGTATCCTCCTGTTGCCCTTCTATAACCATATCATAATGCTAAGGCCCCCTAAACCTTAAACCCGAAGCCCAGAACCCTAACAGGCTGGGTCGTCATCTCTGGTTGCGTTGGGGTCCATCTCTGGCGGAACAGCGAGCTGCTGGACGAAGAGGCCTAAAGTAGACCGCCTCCTTTTTCATATTTAAACCCGAAGCCCTGAACCCGCAACCCCCAACTCCACAGCTCGCCTCAGCGTCTCAACTCCTCAATCCAATAGCTCCTATCTTCCACCACCTTGAGGGAGCAGAAAGCTGCGTAATCTGGGTCAGAACTCACTACAAGTATCTTGGGTTGGGCTTCTGGTAGATACGGTTTGACCTTATCAAGAAAACTGGGGTGCTATTTCCTACATTTCAGGTTCAGGCCTCGGGCGAAGTCTAACGGTGATCTACCCAGCGGCAGAACTGCTACTTTCTTGCTCTCTCGAAACATTCGTAGTCGAATTGTTCCGGGTCAGTTCGACGGGAAAGGGCCAGGCGATTGGAGTAAACCTACCTGAAGACGAGCGCAATCGCAAACCCGAAATATCACGATGCAAGCGCGCAGAGTCCAGGGATTATGTAGTTTGCTGCGGCATATTTCATCCCCGGCCTTTGGCAAGGACGGACCAGCAAATCAACAGCCAGCAATGATGGACGGTGTAGACCTGCATTTTGAAGTTCTTGCGGACTGCGTTTGAGGGGTGCCGTTGCGATTATGAGCAATCGGGAAACTTCGGCCCTAAGCCCACTTCTCCCTAAACCCTAGTCCCTTAGCTTCTCTTCAAACTCTACACTTTCTCCTGAAGCCTCAACCAGTGCACTGTAAACCACTTCTCCCTAAACCTGAAAATCCTCAAAGGCCAAACCCGGAGGCCTGAATAGGCCTTGTATAGGGTCATCCGGAAGCACTCTAAACGTATTCTGAAACCATTGTAGAACCCTCTAGGACTTCTCTCCAAGAGGTGCCCACGCCCCGCGACGCGTTCGACCCCTCTTCCTTTGAGCTGAAGGGCGCGCCGAAGCACCAGCGCAGAAAGGCTGAGAAAGCCGCATCTCTCTTTGTTCTTTTGCTTACGTTTTAGGATGTACAGAGTGCTTCTGTTGCAGAATGGCTTCTCTGCTTCGGGCATTGAGGGCGGTTGAGCCCTAACTCTTGAGGTCCTTGTAGTAAACTAAACCGCGTAGTATCGGCTTTACGAGCCTTTCACCTAGCTTTGCCGGTGAAGTGGATCGGGTGCTCAGGAGCAGAAAGCATCGAAGGTAAGTACGGTCATAGAGCCTGTAACGGCGCTGGCTGGCAGCGTCAACATCAGAATCCCCACGATCATAATCCCCACCACCAGCATCATTATCGTCATCGTCAGCGTCAATATCATCATTATCGCCACATCACACCCATTTAGTGTGCAAGAAGGATACCATCAACAAAAGCATAAGTGCGAGAAAAGGAACAACAACGAACACCTTCGGAGGGGAAGCTGCGGAGCACTCGCACCTTTGCAGCTCTGCCGACACATCTCGCAGAGGAGGCACGCAGATTGGGGAGGTGGGCCTTGTTTGAGCGTTCTGAGCCCGAGGCCTTAAGCTTCTCTTAAGTCACAAACAAAATAGGACTGAAAGAAGGGAGAGAAGGCAGAAGCGACGGGGATTCGGACAGTCTTTGGGCTTCTTGTTGTTTAGGGTTTGAGTATCTGGGGTTTCGGGGTTTGGTGTTTCAGTGTTTCAGGGCGTTTTAGGGGGTTGATGGTCGTGGTTTTTTCGGATCTTGGCTTGCGGCTTGAGGCGCGAGGGGTTTAGAGTTTAGGGTGTGCGGCTTAGGGGTTTCAGGCTTGTGTCGAGGTGTGAAAATATGCCCTGAACTTGAACAACCCCAAAGACCGCCAAACATTTGGTCCTCTAAACCCGAAACCACCAAGACTTAGCGATCCGGCCATAGTAACACCCCCCGCAGCACGTTGCAACTCTGCGACATTTGTCGTGTACATTCTAAGAATCCAGTGGACTTACGTGGGCAACACTCGGGACTCAAGCCCTGAATTCCAAAAACTGTGCCAAACGATCCTGCTTGCCCACGCCCGAGGTTCATTTTGTCAAGTCTTGCTCTTAAGTAATGATTCATCAGTGTTTGGGTTGCTGCTGTTACATTCATTGATTTTTATGGATCTCGAACCTTCGAAAAAAGGGGGCTTAAATAATCAGCAATATGACAAGAAGTATAGTATTACCCCCCCCCAAACCCTATTCCAATTATTAAAGGCCCCTATACTTCCCTCGAAAGTCCAATGCTCTCAGGAGTCTCCCTGAGCCTCAAAGCCCTACGGTTGATGATATAAATCCTAGGGTTCCTTTAACAGGGATCTATAAGGGTACCTTTAAGGGCTTCCTTTAAGGGCTCTGTAGTTATAGGGTTTAGGGATATAAATCCTGCATTACCCATAATAAGGAATATACCATAGTTCCCATAGCTTAGGGCCCTTAAGGTAATCCAGGATTTATATCATCAACAGTAGTGTAGGGGCCTGGATGCCCAGACGATCGGGAGGATCTAGAAAGTAGATCTCCAAATTTGGGGCCCTTCACTACTAAGGGCACGTTCTAGGAACCCCCATTAAGGGATCTACTTTTTGGATCCTCCCGGGGTGGTTCCTTATTCTAGTTGGAGTAAAATATATACCACCCCTTCCCCAAGAAAGCAAAGCCCTGTCCAATTTTTAAGGCCCCTGTATCAGAAAGGCCCTTGTATCAGACACGGCACCGTAAAGTTAAGTAAACCCCAAACTACGGAACCTTGAAACCTCGAGTGCAAATGTAGCCCGCAGACCCGGATCCTATTTGAAGGATCATGGGACTCAATAACTAGGGTAATAATTAGGGTAACTATACTTCTAACTACTTATAACCCCAATTAAGGCACCCATAACCATACTTACTAAGTCCCATGATCCTCCAAGTAGACTCTGCAGGAGGAGCCGAAAGCCGAGTCTGCCAACCCTGCGTGGCCCAGCTTATTTAGGGTTTAGGGTTAGGCTAGAGTTTAGGGTTTAGGGTTTAGGGTTTAGAGTTTAGGGTTTAGGGTTTAGGGTAAGGGGGCTCGAACTGGATGGCGGTAGCTGCAATACTGCGATGATGCCGATGTGTGCTTCTATGACAACCAGGATGAAGATCATCAGGGTGCTTCCGGTGATCATAAAGATGAACATGTCTCATGGTTCTTGTTGTTATCAGCCTGATGAAGAGCTGCAAGTTCAACCATCCTAGTAAGCCGTCGCAGCAGCAGCAGCAGCCGGCGGAAGAGGGGCTGAGGAAGGAGTGAGTGTCGTGGGTGGTAGTAGAATTGATTTTGCCGCAGTGGTAACACTAGCAAAAGCACCAGTGCCTGTTCTGACACAGTGCTAAATTATCAAACTACCTAAAGCATCAACCCTAAACCCTAATCCCTAAACCATTATGCTAAGCTGAGGGGGAGCCCCAGTGGTGGAAGTAGGCGGATGCTGCTGCCTCGCTCGCAGAGCCTTCGGCAGCACGCTGGAACATCAGTCCGGACTCGGAAGCTGAGGGCCATTGCTAATAATAGCAGTTTAATAGCAACAATAATGATAATGACACGAACAGTAATACTAACAACACGAATAAGAAGAACAAGAATAGCAGTCATAATGGTAAGAATAATCACGATAAGACTAGTCGTAACATTTCAGTGATAATAACAACAATAATGATCACAGAATTTTGTACATGTATTTTTACGTATATCTCTCTCTCTCTCTCTGTCTGTGTTTGTGTACCTGTCGTTCAGGGCTGGGTTTTCCCCAAGCTTTTTCCAGCGAGGCGTCCGGTTCTAAGCAGCCGGGATGCCGAGCCATGTTGAGAAGACACATCACAGCGAAGTAAACCCCTAAACTTAGCCCTAAAACCCAAACCCTAAACCCCTAAACTTAGCCCTAAACCCTAAACCCTAAAGTTTGTTCCCTGATGGGGCTATTGGAAGCCTGAGCAGCAAGACATTTGGTGACTTCTTGCGGGCTTGGGGTCAATCTCACATGATCTCTTAAACCCTAAAGCCCTGAGCAGCAAGATTGGGGGAGTCGACAAGGGCTCAGGAAAGTCTTTGTAGAAGTGGAGCTAGTTGAACAACTCATCCGTGCTGCCCGGTGGAGCCACAGGAACGTAAAACTACAGAGACTCTACGGCCGAGGCAAATGGAGATGACGGTCCCAGAAAGCCCAATACCCCTTAATTAAGGAATATGGCTTAAATTATATAGGGCTTCATCCAGCAGGAGCCTGAACCGTAAACCACCGCGGAGTGCTTTGTTAAATAGCAAAACCAGTCTGCTGTCTGCGTCGCAGGGCATCTGCTCAGGTTGCCTGAAACTCCCGTGTAGTGCATTTGCTAGCCACCTGAATTGCCGTCCTGCTGGCATCTACGACCCGCGCACAAGGTTTCGAGCACCACAACTCAGCCTTAAAATATCACTTCAGTCCTTGCACCACACATTTTGTGGCTTCCTTGACACTGAGCTGCTGAGGACTAGTGAAAGCATGGATGGGAAGGACGGCAAGGGCAAGGACAAGGACGTTCCACGGCTCCCTGACCCATCAGAAAGGATCTGGTAGAGGGCCAGGCTGTGGGTTTTTTCGGTTCGCCAGCGGCTTCGAACCCTCAAAACCAGACCTTGTGCCCCAAAGCCAACCCGGAACCCTTCAGCCTCAACAAAGCAGGTATCGGAGTTTCGAGGGCTTCAGCACCTACACAGAGAAGTCGATCCTCGGTGTGCAGGTGCCGATGTTTGGGGTGGTAAGGCTTCGGGTTTAGTGTTTTGCGGTTTAAGGCTTTAGGAGTTTAGGGGTTTAAGAGTTTAGGGTTTGGGGTTTAGGGTTTCAGGAGTTAAGGGGCCTTTAGAGACAGGGCTTTCGCCCGATTTTATGGCTCTCAGTGGAGGCCAGGGGCCCTTTTCCCTAAGGTTTCGGCCTCCTGCCTAAACCCTCAACCCTGAATCCAAACTCTAAACCCAAAACCCAACCCTAAACCCAAAACCCTAAACCCCAAACCCTAAACCCCAAAGCCTAAACCCCAAACCGTGCATTTCTTCCTTCCATGACGTCGGGCTCCGGGGGTCCAGTAGCGTCGCAGCCGCACTGCTTGACCCAGGTGATCAAGAAGGTTTAGGGTTTACGGTTTAGGGTTTCCCGAAACCATAGCGTAAATAGTCGCAGCAGCACGAAAGGTGCGAGCAATTTCTGAAAAGCTGCATTTGTGTTATCATAGCTAGTCGGGTCCTCACGTGCCAAACCAAGCCCCAAAATCTGAACATTCCTACACACCAGCAAAGGGTTTTCTGTACGGTTGCAGGTGCTTAAACTCTAATTAAACCCTAAAGCCCGAAGTCGAAGGTTTAACTTACGTGTTGAGCCAGGGCTCGATTTTGGCTGCTGGATGGTTCGGATTATCATCATTGTCGCTACTGCGATTTCACGAACCTGCAGGCTAAAGGTATGAATTCGAATTTAGACCTTTATTGAATCTGAAAGTCTACCTTATTCATCATGACAGTCGTGCCCTTACACTTTTTTGATTCTTTTACTGGCAGCTGCGAGTGTTATAACCCTTGAACCCGCATAGATCCCCTTAAGGAACGCTTAAACGATGCCTTTAAAGGTACCAAGAGAAAGACACCTCGCAGCCGACCCCCAAACCCTAAACCCTAAACTAAACCCTGAAACCCTAAACCCTAAACCCCTAGACCCTAAAACCCCAAAGCCCTGAAGCCCTAAACCCTTGTTCTGATGGTCCCTGGACAGGTGGCCCAGCTGGGGTCCGGGCGCATTTTTGGGGAACTCGCGCTGCAGAGCCTCGGACGGTGGAAGTGTGGCCTTTACAATTGGGGCCCTTAAGAATTACCATAAGGGATTTAGAGTAGGGTTCTAGAGTATGGGGCCTTCATCATTGGAATAAGGATTTTGGGGCCCATTATACTATACTTATGTCAATAAGCAACCACCAGAATAGTATAGGTAATTATAAGGCCCCGACATCATGTTGTTTTTTTTGGGCTTCAGGGTTTGGGGTTCAGGGGCTTTAGGGTTTGGATTTTAGGGGCTTTAGCTAGGGGGTGAAGACAGCTCCCATATCTAGTCCGAAAAGAGGTTAATAATAACAAAGAGTAGCAATAGTAATACTATTGCAGCAGCAGCAGCAGCAGCAGCAGCAGCAGCAGCAGCAGGAGTAGTAGTAGTAGTAGTAGTAGTAGGAGTAGTAGTAGTAGTAGTAGTAGTAGTAGTAGTAGTAGTAGTAGTAGTAGTAGTAGTAGTAGTAGTAGTAGTAGGTAGTAGTGGTAGTAGCAGCAGCAGTCGTGGTGGTGGTGGTGGTGGTGGTGGTGGTGGTGGTGGTGGTTTGGCGGCCTTTAGGGTTTAGGGTTGAGGAGATTTAGGCTTCGGGGCTTAGGGTTTTGTCTTCGGGAGGAGTGAAGAGGGGGTGAGGGGGATGGGGTTCTGTCCAAAGGTTTTCCAGTGAGAGGGATGGGGTTCTCTTTAAAGGTTTTCCAGTGCCCGCTACAGGACTTTCAGGGTTCCATTCAAGGGTCGATGTTGTGTGCGATGCAACTTGTGCTAAGGCCACTTCTGGGTTAGAGTCGTCACGCGACGATAACCGTGTCTGCAGCATCCGGAAAGGGTATTGTCAAACATCAGTTCTTGAAATCGGGTAGCCCATCGGAATAAAAGGCAGTATAAGAAAATGCAGCACGACATCCTTGTCACCAGTGCTTGTAGTGGGCGTCCAGCCATGCTGGCGAGGAGCAGCGGTGTCGTTGGAGCAGGCAGTTCTAAGTTCTAGTCATCGTCATCCACATCGTCAAGATCATCAGGATAGCCATGGTTGTCGTCAGAATCACTCCCGCCATTACCATCATAATCACCAGCATGTCCAGCGCTGGTATCGTCAATGCTAGTTTTCTGAGCCAAGTTGCTTGCCGTTTCGCCGGCATCGTGACAGCCGTGTCCATGTTGCCGTCATCACCGAACCCCCCGTCGGCGTCACGAGCATAGCATGATGGAGATGGTGGTTCTTACAAGGAAGAAGCCGGCAATCAAGCTGCACAGTCACAATCGAGGTAGCAGCATGATCGTGAGTGTGACGATGCTGTTGATCACAATGCTCATGATGTCGGTGGTGATATTAGTCAGGCTTATCATCGCAGCCATCCAAATCATGTCATCGGCTTCGCTCTACGTCGTATCCGTTCCGAACTTACTGAGGCTTTGAGACAGAACTGAACCCTGCAGAACAACATTCACTTTGTTAGATGCAGACCTACATCGTGCTATGTTTCACGCAGTGGCTTCAGGGTTTTCTGCAACAGCGGCCAGACTCCAATACCTCACAATGGCAAGATTACCATCCGACGCGGTTTGCAGTTTTAGGGCACCCAAAATAGTATGGGTGATTATTTGGGCCCCTGCTATAGAACCCTTATAGTTATAGACCCCTTTTTAAGGAACCTTGAAAGCATACAATCATCCTACCCAGTAATGCCTTGAATTCTTATGGCAGACGTAAAGCACCAAATCGTAATCCAAGGAACACGAAGCCGCGTGCTGCGACCATCAAGTGTGCAGAGGATTCCGCCTTCTTGCGGAGACTGGACTCACATGGATTGAGCCGAAGGGTAGGCGTAATATCAGTAGTCAGTAGTCGTCCCGGTAGATGGTGATAGTGGAGCGGAAGTGGCATTTGCAGAGAGTCATAGCAGTAAAGTCTTCCAGCATATCATATATACTTGTACACACCTTTGCCAGGAGTAGTCTCCCGTGAGGGCGATATGGTCACGGATAGAGGTGGCATTTCTGCTGTTCACATTGTATCGAAGCAGAAGCAATACATTCTTGGCAAGAGTCGCTGCAGCTGTCACAAGCGCGTTCGGCGCACTAGCTAGCACTGCTGTTTGTTTGCTTTTTTGTTTTAGCTGTTGTGGCTGTTTCGCCTGCTGTGGCTCTGGCTGTTTTGCCTCCGTGGCAGTTGCTGCATCTTGGCCACCATTCTTCTACTACTGGGGCCTAAAGAATTAACAATAGTATTGTGGGGGTCCGTAATATGGCTATATATGTCTAATCTACCCCCAAAACCATCTTGTAATCATAAAGGCCCCTATATTACCCATGCTTTTGACAGAATCAGGTGGGGAGCTTCAGCTTTGGGGAGCTTCCGCTTCGAGCGGTTTGGGGAAGACCTCCCAACCTCCGCTTAGAGGACCATGGGACTTACTGTTGATGATAAAAATCCTGCATTGCCCTAAAGACCCTAAACTGTGGGAATTATGGGATATTCCTTATTATGGGTAATGCAGGATTCATATCATCAACCGTAGTAACTGGGGTCATAATAGAGGTAACTATACCTAAAATTACTTATACCCCTCTTAGGGGACTTATAACCATACTTACTAAGTCCCGTGATCCTCCAAGTGTCCATGATCCCGCAAGAAGTCTGATAGCCGTGTGGAAGCCCCAAGCCCGTCATCCGCGTGTGGCTGAGGATTCCGTATGCAACTTACCAGGGTGTGGTCAAGGAGATCTTCGACGAGGCAAGCTTTCCATTATTTTGCAAGGGGTTCCACGATCAGAGTCTTGTGGGGCCCCGCAAATATCCAAGCATGCGAACTTCGAGGGGCGTCTAGCAATCCTAAACTAAACCCTAAACCCAGCTAGTAGTTTAGGGAAGCCAAACACCCAGATTTCCATGTCTCAGCAAGGCCAAACCCCAACCAAGGTTTCACTATTCAACCCTAAACCCTAAACCCTAAACCCTAAACCGACTCATAGGCCCCAGCGTATTCAAGCACCACGCATCCCGGAAGCTTGTGAAGGGAGCCTTGGAGGTGCATGGGTAGTTATAAATGGGGTTATAAGAAGGGTAACTATAATTATAATCCATATTAGGGGACTTTGAACTCCAGTTGTAGCTACCCATGAACCTCCAAGGAGGACCCTCGGTTTGAACTTGTCACTGTTAGGGTTCAGAGCGCGCTTCAGCAAGGCGAAGGCAGTGGAAGAATCCATTCGCATCCTCAAGACCAGCGCCTTCTTCCGGGACTGAGTGGGTGCAGCTTAAGCCATGCCGCTACTACTGCCTATTGGAAGAAAGACGGAGGGAAAGAGAAGGAAGAGGAGATCTCGACATAGGACTTGCGTATCAACATTGTCAACATTGAAATCGTTGTCACCGCCATATCTTCATGACCACCACTGCTTTCATCATTAAAACGGTTTTGTCGATTATTGGTCTAATCAGTACTGCCATTATTATGAAGGTTTTTTGCCAGTACAACAACAACTACTACTACTACTACTGCTGCTGCTGCTACTACTACTACTACTACTACTACTACTACTACTACTACTACTACTACGATGACTATCCTACTACACAACTACCACTGCTACCACTGCCACCACTGCTACGACTACACCACTACTACGACTATCCTACTCCACTACTACCACTGTCACCACTGCTACCACTGCTACCACTGCTACCACTGCTACCACTGCGCTACCACTGCTACCACTGCTAGCACTGCTACCACTGCTACCACGGCTACCACTGCTACCACTGCTACCACTGCTACCACTGCTACCACTGCTACCACTGCTACCACTGCTACCACTGCCACCACTGCTACGACTACACCACTACTACGACCATCCTACTCCACTACTACCACTGTCACCACTGCTACCACTGCTACCACTGCTACCACTGCTACCACTGCTACCACTGCTACCACTGCTAGCACTGCTACCACTGCTAGCACTGCTACCACGGCTACCACTGCTACCACTGCTACCACTGCTACCACTACCACCACTACTTGCACTGCTACCACTGCTATCACTACTACCACTACTACCACTACTGCTAGTGCTGCTACCGTTGCTACTGATGCTGCTACTGCTACTGCTGCTACTGCTACTGCTGCTACTACTGCTGCTAGTGCTACTACTGCTACTACTGCCACGACCCCTACTACCGCTACTACTGCTACTGCTTGCTACTGCTGCTGCTGCTGCTCCTCCCATTCCTCCTAGTCCTCCTCCTCCTCCTCCTCCTACTTCTGCTCCTGCTCCTGCTCCTGCTCCTGCTCCTGCTCCTGCTCCTGCTCCTGCTCCTGCTCCTGCTACTACTACTGTTGCTGCTGCTGACTTCTACTATCATTACTGGCATTATGATGATTGCCATTATCATGCCATCGGAAGTTTTGCTTCGTACTATTCGTATGATAATGTTTTGTGTTTACCATTGGATGCATTCATTGCTTGTTACAACCAGCTCTCGAAAGCGTCAGAGGACCTGGAGCGCAATTCCCCGGGGTTGATCAAAGAGCTGGCTTCGCGCGGGTGTACGAAGATCGAGGACCTACTGTTTAGATGATTCAGTATTCATGTCTTGAAGGTTTTGTTTTGTGGAGTCATTGGTTGCAAGGGTTCGGGGTTCAGGTTTCTGCCTGTGCGGGGTCTGGGAGTTCTGTCTTTGGTGTCGGGCATTGCCGTTGTGGGCGTAGGAGGTGTGCCAGGGGTTTTACAGTAGCAGTGCAAGTAGGACCAGAAGTGCTCTTACCTGTAGCAGTCGTTGTCGTAGTCATTGTGGTGGTGGAGGTGGTGGTCGTCGTAGAATTAGTAGTAGTCGTCGTAGTCGTAGTCGTAGTGGTAGTGTTCGTAGTAGTCGTAGGAGGAGTAGCAGTAGTAATAGCAGTGGTGGTAGTAGTGGTAGTCATCATCATAACGGTTATGATAGGTTTAGGAATATCAGCCACAGGCGCAGCAGAAGCCTCAGCATAGTAGTGGACTACACACTCAAACTCGACACACTCCCCAGCCCACAAAAGCTCTCTACAGATGACAGGAGCGGCGCGAGCAAGTTCTTTTCCGACAGTTCGACCCACCTAACAACTGCACACCGGCTTGGCTTCACCGGTTCTGTTTGCAGTTCAGGGCCTTAGGAGTTTATTTGGGTCTCTGAATGTCGCATGTTTCGGGTTTGGGAGTGTTTCGGGTCTAGGGTTCAGGTCTAGGTGTTGCAGGGTTTTGGGCCGAGACTGTCAGGTTGGCAAAGGGTTGAAGATGTTCTGTGGCTTTTAGTGAGCTTCTGTGGTTTCCGAAGGGAAGGCTTCGCAGCTTCAGCGTCTGAAGCTACACAAGGTTGGAGCTTTTGTGCCCCAAACCCTGAATCCCAAACTTCCCTGAACCCTAAGCGCCAGCACTCCGTGCAAATCCTAAGCCCAGAAAGCGCTAAGTCCTGCTAAACCCCGCGAGCAACAAGCCTTGAAACCATTGGAAAGCCCTGAGTCCCAACAACAGCCCGCGACCGCGAAGCCCTGAAAGGGTTTAGGGAGTTTAGGGTTTAGGGTTTAGGGTTTAGGGTTTAGGGAGTTTAGGGTTAGGGCAAACACAAGCCGCCCAAACGCCCTAACGCCGACTGCGACGCCCTGAACCCGACATCGCTATTTCAGGCCCTCATGTTGGGGCACCTAAATCCTAAACCCTGAGCCTTCAGCCCTAAACCCTAATCTCTATACCCCCTAATCCTTAAACCCTAAATACACTACTTTCGTCTCCATCCTCACATACGGTCTCGAAGCCCTTACCCTCACGGATAAAGACCTACACAGAATTGATGGCTGTTGGTTTAGATTCCTGCGTCGGGTTGTAGGCATTAAAGCATCCTACTACTCCCGTGTCCCAAAAGAAGAAGTCTATCGGGTAGCAGGTAAGCCTGAAAAACCCTCAACCATACTGCAACGTCAGCAATACAAAACCATGGTAGAAGTATTCCAGGCCCATCCCAATATGCCAGTGCACTCTGTAGTCTTTATGTCAGCTTATAAGGACAGAATTATCAATCAGGGTAGAAGAAGAGGAATGCAGTTCCCATATTGGTTAGAAGTAACAACCAAAAGAACACACCCTGACCTATGGAAGCCGGACCACACCGCAAGAAACCCCCATCATAAGTACGTAGTCATAGCAAAGGAGTTGCGGAAATCGTCTTTTGAGATGGCGCCGAAGCGCGCACGCAGTTCGCGCGCAGGGCCTCCCTAAAAAATGGATCCCTTGTAGAACCCTTATGGATCCCTTTAAAGGAACCCCTATAGATCCTTTAAGGGAACCCCTATAACCCCAGGCTACATCCTGCTCGAGGGCTCGGTCGACGTCTTCATCTACAAGAAGACCAAGGATAAGAGCGTCAGCCTCTTGAGGCCCGGGCTCTTAGGGGGGGTCCTTAAAGGAGGGTCCTTTAGAGGGTCCTTTAAGGGTTCCTAACAAAGGGCTTAGGGTTCCTTTAGAGGGCTGAGGGCTCTCGGTTCCTTTAGTGGGCTGGAGGGTTTCAGCTGCAGGGTTTAGCGCTTGAAGGGTTTGAGGGTGGTGCCGCCGATTTGGAGCTTTGTTTCTTCGGGTTTATGGTTCACGGTGTGTCAACGCGATGGGGCTTGTGGGTGCATGCAGGAACAGCACCTTAAACGATGTTTTCACTTACACTCAATCCTGCTCGCTGCAAGGAAAGACGATCAACCGACACCACGCCACCAGGCACAAGGGCCGCGGGTTCAGCATTTTTTCGGATTGGGATTGGGATGACTCTGGCTATCATCACTGTTATTATTCGTTTATTAGTAGTATTGCTATTGTTGTTTACTCATGATGGTTAGTATGATTATTACGACAACACGGTTACTATGATTACTATAGATATAGTATCATTATTACCGGTATTATTATTATTATCATTATTATGAATACGCTTACTACGACTATGATTGTTAATAGTATAATGAAAAAGTACGGCTACTCTTGCTGCTGCTGCTGCTGCTGCTGCTGCTGCTGCTGCTGCTGCTCCTATCACTGCTACCGCCACTGCTGCTACTGCTACTGCTGCTACTACTACTACTACTACTACTACTGCCACTACTACTCCTGCTACTACTACTACTACTACCACCTCCCGCTGCTGCTGCTGCTACTACTACTAATACTACTACTACTACTACTACTACTACTACTACTACTGCTACTACTGCTACTACTACCACTACTACTACTACTACTGCCCCTACCCCTACCCCTTCCCCTACCCTTACCCCGATACCCTCACCCTTACCCACTCTACCCTACCAGGACCACTACCACCACCACCACCACCGCCACCACCACGCCACCACCACGCCACCACCACGCCACCACCACGCCACCACCACGCCACCACCACGCCACCACCACGCCACCACCACGCCACCACCACGCCACCGCCACGCCACTACCACTACCACCACCACTACCACCACGTGTCCCAACAATTTCGATGACCATCTATCCATGAGTTCACGCTTCTAGCTTGGCGTTACACAGATCGACAGAGCGATGAGCGGATCGGCAGAGTTAAATGAATCGACCGAACCGACAGATTTCCAGCATTACCAGTATCACTACCTTGATTGCTCTCATTCTTAATATAATAGCAAAAAGTATTATACTGTTGCCCTAAAAACAACAGTAATGATTCGTATCATGACTATTACTTTCATCACTAGTATACAGATATACGGGTAGGGTATGTGCCTTTACAATGATTCGGGGGTCACAAGCATATGCTTGTTCGTCTTCATGCTTGTGCGTCTTCATAAACCACTAAACCCCAAACCTAAAACCCTCAGACTTCATCTCTGAGAGGGTTTATGTTCTACCTCGAGTGCACGCCCAATCGGGCGGGCTTGCGAGACATCAAACCCTAAACCCTAAACCCTGAACCCCTAAACCCTAAACCCTAAACCCCCTAAACCCCCTAAACCCCCTAAACCGTAAATAAAACCAGGAGTAAACAAACAAAACCAGGAGCCGATCGACAAGAAGACGACAATCACGGAAGCGGCGAACATGTGGAAGCAGCAAAAGGAGGCTGTGGTTTAGGGTTTAGGGTTTAGGGTTTAGGGTCTGTGACATCGCTGTTGTAACATGTGGAGATTTGTTACAAGGGGGTCGCTTTTGGGCGATCCTTCTTTGAACATCCTTTAGGTTGCTTAGCTATAGTCCCGTTTCCACCAAATCTTATATGCTTGTGAAATGTAGTGTGGGATGGACCCGGTAGCTGCGTAGGATCGAGGTTTGAATAATTTGTAACGGTTTTCCCTCATAGTTCGAACTAGTTCGAGCTTTCTAGTTGTCAGGGCCGCCTTTAGCTGTTTCAGCCCAGTTTGCAGAAGCCCGCATGCAGTCTTTCAATGCAAATCGACACTGCGGCTTGGGGTTTAGGCTGTTCGAGTTTAGGGCTTAGGGTGAAAAGTTTAAGGTTTAGAGAACCCTAAACCCTAAACCCTTAAACCCTAAATTTAGGGGTTAGGGCTTTTGTGCGACAGTTGAGCCTCGGCTCATTTCGCTAGGTGCGGGCCGTGGCTTTCGGCTGCAAGGTTTCCTAATCCCTAAGCCCTAAGTCCTGAGCCCTGAAGCCCAAAGCCTAAAACTGGTCAGTTTAACAATCTTCGGGACCACAGCACCGTCTTCATTGTTGTGCCGCCTGTTCCGTATGGGGATTCTGCAAACTCGAGGTTCTTGTTTTGAGTTTGAAGGAAGCAGGGTTGTTCTTGGCTTCTTCGATGTCTTTCGAAGGTCGCGTCGAAGCCTCATGCTGCTGCACAGGCTGAGAAAGCGAACAAACTCAGACCGATCAACAAGAAGGACAAAAACCGAAGCTCGTTCTGCACAGGACATTGCATCCAAAAAGCCCGCAAGCCCCCTTGGCGGTAAACCGAGTGTCCTTAGTATTACTGTTATGCTGATTAGTGTTACTGCTACTATTACGAAAGTAATTATGATGATTATTACTATCACAACCCTAAACCCTAAACCCTAAACCTCAGCTCAACTTCCTAGAAGCCATGCTCCGGCTTCGGAAGTTCGGGTTGAGCATGTAGGGCGGGGAGCGGAAGGCCATCCATGAGTTTTGAAGGTTGAGGAAGCCTAAACCCTTCTTCAAACCTAAATGCTAAAACCCCTAAAACTAAAACCCCAAACCCGAAGCCTTAAACCCTAAAGCGTAAAACCCTTAAACACCCCTAAAACCCAAACACCCCGAAACCTAAAACCCTAAACCCGAAGCCCAAACGTCCAAGGGGTCAGAGTTCAGTCGGAGTCAGAGCTGAGCCAAACAGCGGGAAGTTTTCGCACAACAGCATTGTGGATTTCAGGGACCAAGGTTCGGTTTATTGATTCAGGGTTTTGTTGGTTTAGGGTTTAGGGGTTAGGGTTTAGGGTGTAGTGCTTGGAGTTTAGGGTTTAGGGGTTCCCCAAACAACAGCTATACACAAATCCTTCCATACCCCAAGGCCCCCTAGACCCGAAAGCTTCACAGCATGTCTCCAACAGTTCAATTCCTCAACCCTAAACCCTAAACCCTGCGCGCAACGCCCTAATCCCCCATTCAGTCATCAACCCCCAGCCACAAAGCCCCAAGCCCACAAGGCCAAAAAGGCCCTCAAACCCTAAACCCTAAACCTCAAAACCCCAAACCCTAAACCCCCAAACCTTGCGACAAACTCCCAAAGGCAAGTTTGAGCCCTGGCCGGGAGAGTTCACGCGCTACAAGACCACGGAGGGCTTCAGCACTTTTGCCAAGGACGGATACGGTGAGACGGTTTAGGCTTTACTTAGAGGATCATGGGACTTAGTAACTAGGGTTATAACTAAGGTAACTATACTTCTAATTGTTTTGACCCCAATCAAGGTACTTATAACGGTTTAGGCTTTAGGGTTTTAGGAAGCTTAGGGGGCTAGGGTTTCACATTTTTTTGGGGGTTTGAGTTGGGTTTACTTGTGTTGTTTGTGTTGGATGCGGGGACTAACTGTTGTTGATATAAATCCTGCACTACCTTGAGGACCCTAAACTATTGGAATTCTGGTATATTCCTTTTATGGGTAATGCAGGATGTATCTCATCAACAGTAGGTCTTGAGTCCTGAGCTTTTAGCTCTACTTGGAGGTTCAGGGGACTTAGTGAGTATGGTTTAGGGTTCCCTTTTAGGGTACTATAGGGTTCTAGAATAGGGTTCCTTAAAGGGATCTATCAGGGGTCTATAATGAGAGGATCGTAGGACTCAGCAAGTATGGTTGTAAGTGCCTTACTTGGGGTTATAAGTACTTATAAGTATAGTTACCTTAATTATAACCCTAGTTACTAAGTCCCATGATCCTTTACATACCCCCAAGACCCACATAGAACCTCTAGTAGTAACCCTTATAGTAGATCCCTTAAAGGAGCCCTTTAGCTACTAAGTCCCATGATCCTCTAAGTCGTGCGCAACCCACAGCCCCAAGTCAATGATCCATGACCAACAGCACCTAGACGCTGTGCGCTAAAACTTCAACACGGAACCCCAGATGTAGTAAGCCGTACCAGCCCGAAACCCTGAACCCTAAACCCTAAATCATAAACCCTGAACCCTAAACCTCCTATCCTAAACCCTAAACCCTGAACCCTAAACCTCAGATCCTAAACCCAAAACCCTAAACCTTGAACCCTGAACCCTAAATCCTAAATCCTAAACACTGAACCCTAAACCCGAAATCATCGACCAAACCCTGAACCCTGAGCTCCCTAAACTCTGGACCCTTTCGCAGCCTTCGACTTGGAGGATCATGGGACTTAGTAAATATGGTTATAAGTACCCTAATTGGGGTTATAAGCAGTTATAAGTGTAGTTACCTTATCTATAACCCTAGCTACTAAGTTCCATGATCATTTAAGGAAGCTCCTTGGGGGCCTTGGCTTCTTGAGTTCCCGGAGTTTGGATCCCTGATCGTTCAGGGTTCAGGGTAACCTTGATCATGCTTTTAGGGTTCAGGGCTGAGGGTTTAGGGCTTGGTTTAGGGTCGGTGATTCTTTCGTTCGCTATTGTCTCTCTGCTTTTTGAGTGATTGATGATTTTCTCTTCTGTTGATCTCAGTTGTTCGAGTCTTGCATTTCATTTTTGGTGCTCGTGGTTCGAGAGGACTCGAAGTACGGGAAGCTGGTGACCACGCTGAAGTGCCCTGGCCTCTGAGAGGACCCACAACCCTCAACCCTAAGCCCTAAACTCCAAACTCCTAAATCGTAAACCTGCCTAAATCCTTTCGCAAGGTTCCGAGGCAACTGCCCAATGCTTTACGATGTTGGGCTTTCGGGACTTTTACGGACCGGTGCCGCGTAAGGTGCTAGAACTTCGAAGGGCTCAGGAATTGGGCTGATCCTCTGGTTGCTCATCCCACTACTCCTACTTTCACTCCTACCTCTGCCTGTGCCTGTAGCTCTGCTTCTACCTCTACGTCTACCTGTGCATAGTCAGTAACAAGTTTCTAGCCATAATGCTAGCGCGAAAGCCAACAATACGACTGGTAACTTGTAGTCATCATGGGTAAGAGTACTTTCCGTATGAACAACACTGAAACCTTGAAGCCCCCTGCGAAACCCAAGCGCCCTAAACCGAAGCGCAATCCGCCTAGAGGGCAGTGTCGGAGCCTGAGGGGTGAGGGGTTTAGGGCCTGAGCTGGGGGCAGGCTGTATCATTTTCGTACCAGGCTCCGGCAAGCGGGCTCTTTCGATTCCGGAATTACAGATGTCGAAGAGGCAGAAGTGCCAGGGCTCGCAAAACAGAAAAAAGAAACCCTAACCATAAACCCCCAATGCCGCATCCGAGGCCCGGAGCTGTCGTCGGGGAGCTCGGGCTGCGGAATAACGAGCCGCGCGCTGCGACGATTCGGTGCGCGGAGAGTCCCAGCTGATGTCAGAATGACTGTTTTGTTGTGGGTTTGGGCTTCACCTGCTTTGAAACAATTTATAAGGCATGCTTTTCAGGGTTGTGGAAGGTAGAGGGTGAAGGGATTGAATGGGTATTCCCAGATCTCTGGGTTGTGTTGCAAAGGGCTTGGGGTGTGAGGGCTACGGGACTTGGGGGTTCAAGATGGGACGGTGATCTGCTATCCTTTTCCATGACTCCACGCTGCCCACCCATGCGCCGATTTCAACCACCTGCTGAAGCTTAAGCCGCCCTACATCCCGAAAGCCCGAACTTCTGTCCTCCGAGGTTATAATCTTGAAGGAACGATCCTCAAACCCACGCCCAAGCCCTAAGCCCTTGAACCCTTAAGTTCTGAACCCTTAGACCGCAGGCGACCGTGAGGCTTGCCGCCCGCGCCCTGAGCTCAGGAATTGCAAGTTCCTGGTGGTGGGGAAGAACATCTTCCTGGAGGTCCTGAAGGAATCCGAGATTTGGGGGGTATAGACTTAAATCTTCCGTAAGGTTTGGGAAAGATCCGACACCCCAACCCGACAGTCCCCAACCCAAAATCCCAAAGCCCAGGAGGATCATGGGACTTGGTTATAAGTAAGTAGGTTATAAGTAATTATAAGTATACTTACCTTAATTGTAACCCTAGTTACTAAGTCCCATGATCCTTGAAGTAGACCCTAAACCGGATCCTCGGCCCTATTCCCCTTTGAACCCTGGCATCCGAACTCGCGTGCACGCGCGATGGCTGCAGGCTTCCCCAGCTCTTGGCAGTGAGTTCTGTAATAGTAGCCGTAGTGGTGACAGTAGTAGAAGCAATAGTAGAAAAAGGTGGTGATCGTTGTCGTTTTCGCGGTAGCACTAGGGAGTTGCAGGATGAGCAGCAGCGACAGCAGCAGTAGCGGTGGTACTGACTGACGCAATAGATAGGAACAGAGGCATCCCAAGTCCCTGCAGACGGAGACGCCCGGAACCCTTGAGACTTGGAAACCCATGGCCGCGCAGGAGTGCCTGGAGATGATGCGATTCTTCAACCTTCACTTGCCAGGCAGACTTTTACGTGCTACTGTTTGGGGTTTAGTGTTTAAGGTTTAGGGTTTAGGTTTTATATAGGGAAGTGGTCTAAGCTGTAAGCCGGCATCATACTTTTCCTTCGACTCAAAAGCGCAAAAGGACCTGCTCGGGGCGTAGGAGCAGCAGCAGCAGTAACGGTAGCGTCGGTGGGATGCAGCCTGTGGTCTCTTACGGCTGTAAGATTTTTGGAGGCAATGCTACGAACCCTCAGGGGAACGATTATATGATCCGTAAAATAAGGAATATAGTGGGATACTCATAAAGTACACCCAAGGGAGAATCTTTGAGGTAGTCTTTCTACATATCCCGACTCCCTTTAGATCCCTACAGTACCAGGCCCCAAACGCGAGACCCTAAACCGTAGAGATCTCTATCGAACCAGGCCTCTTCAAGCTGGAGTACACGAACGGCGTCCACCCATGCGTCTACTTCCAGGAAAGGGCTTCCTGGCCAGAAACCCAAACCCAAGCGCTTTGGGGTTAGGGTTGAGGGTTTAGGGCAGCTTAGGGTCAGGAGTTTAGGGTTTGGGGTTCAGGTTTTGCGGTTTAGGTTTTTGGGTTTAGGTTTGGGGTTTTGGGTTATGCGGTTTACGGTTTAGGGTGCTTAAACTAATTCGCAAAGCCCGTATACCCCCAAACTCAAAACCAAAAGGTCCGAACTCCCTCGTTTACTACTGCAAGTTATGACACCCAAGCCCTCAAATACCTCAATGTCTAAACCCTAAGTCTCGACACCCAGGATTTACTCCCTGGTCTCTTCTTGAGGGTGGAATTGTGGAACTCACACGCACATTGCGGAGCCTCAAGTGCTGAAGTACTGCAACCCCAGATCATCTCTCTAAAGCCTTAGATGCCGAGGTCACAGAGACCCCAAACCCTGAACTAGGCCCTGAACCAGAAAACCCCTAAACCCTAAACCGTACTCCCCTAAGGTAAAAGCCAGAAAGTTGGAATATGATTATCCTAAGCCTTTCTATGGTAAGTTATAGGGTATCCTACCCTGAAACCATATTCCAACTTTCTGGAGTTCCCTGTAACCCTAAACCCTAAACCCCAAAAGCCAACCCTAAACCCTAAACCCTAAACCCAAAAAGCCGAGGACCCAAAACCCCCAGACGAAGCTCCTTTCCAGAATCTTCTTAGTCTCACGCCTTGTCGGGGAACCCGAAGCTTGTGCTGGTTCAGTCCTTTGATACCCTAAACCCCTAAACCCCTAAACCCTAAACCCTAAACCCTAAAGTACTTGATCATGATGAACGTGACCGAGCATGAATATGTACGTTTGCGCGCTTCTCACAGTACTCATACCAAGTAGTTCGCATGATACGCGCATTATGAATATCCCTAACTACTCCCCTAAACCCTAAACCCTAAACCCTTGCAAGGTCTTTCCGCCAGACTTTGACTTCATGATCGAAGGCATCGTCGCTGCGGAGCCTGCTGCCTACTTGATCAGGCGCGGGCTGTCTGAACATTTGGGAAGACTGCAGGTTCCGGGGTACCTTTAAAGGGATCCATAAGGGTTCTTAGGGTTTATATAGGGATTATATAGGGTTCTTAGGGGTTATATAGGGATTATATAGGGTTCTTAGGGGTTATATAGGGATTATATAGGGTTCTTAGGGCTTATATAGGGGTTATATAGGGTTTTTGGGTTTAGGGGTTTGGGGCTTTAGGGTTTTAGGGCTTCGGGTCCAGGGTTCATTGCTTGGGGTTCAGGGTTTGGAGTTGGAGTTAACTTGGTTTTAGGCCTAATGTACGCGTTTGACAGGAGTCTACTTAAAGTTTCAGGGCAGGGGATCGGAGACTGAGATATAGCCCCTAAAATAGAGCCCTGCTTGAAAGGAATGCATATATTACATACACTCATACATCCATACATCCACGCATTCATACATTCATGCATTCATCATGCATTCATACATTCTTTCATTCATGCATACATACATGCCCTACACACATACACACATGCATGCCTACCTACCGACCGACCGACCGGCGAACTGACCTGCGCAGACATGCGTGCATACTTGAGTGCGTGCTACATGCACAGATGCAAATACACAGACATACATACATGCATAAAGACATTGCAACATAAATGTTTGCACAGGTGTGTGGAGGCACGCTTGCTTCCGAGGACCCATGTCGTGTGCTGATCAAGAGCACATGTGTCACATGTGCATGCGAACATGCGTATGCATCTACATTTGGTTTACCGATGGGCCGCCGCATGCAAAGATACGTACATCCACGTGCATCTTGCCCGAAAGCTATGATACCAAGATGGCCAACAGCCAAAGCCCTTCGAGATCTGGTCATTGCTCCTGTTATTTTGAGTCCACTGAAAAACTTGATACCCGAGCCCGAGGCCAAAAAGTTCCAAATCCCCAAACCACCTTGCAGGGAGGGCACCGTGCGTTTCCAGCGGCACAAGTACGCCGGTGAGAACTGGGTCTACGCGCATCGGCATGCGCCCCTGACACGCTCGAGGCTACCCGACCTCCCAGCCTACCACCAGTACCTGGGCTTTTCAAAAGCGCGTTTTTTTTTTTAATCAGGGGGGGGGATCTTCGAGTTCCTGACTCGACATCAGATATCTAAACCCTAAACACAGGTACTCGACCTCCTCCCTGCGGAATCGTCGGATCCTGGAGCTGCAGGCGTGGGGGTATAAATCACCGGTTCCCAGCTCTTCGCACTGGATCCTAAAGAGCTCTAATATCTGTGCCTAAGTGCCAGTACTATTTTGGGGGTTCCTGATTACATTAGTACTATACCCCAAAACCCTTTTCTAAAAATTGAGGCCCCTAAAGCTCTAGAATGGATCTTAAACCCGAAGAACTAACGGCTTGGGTTTCAGGTTTAGGGTTTGGGGATATCAGAAGGATTGCTAAAGATAACACGGAAGCCCTAAACCCTGAAGCCTCAACCATGAAGGAAGTCTTTGCTTTCTGTATCTGCAGTTGGAACAGGGCCCATAAACAAAACAAACAACGACTAGGATGCCCAGTAGTACCCTTATTCCTTTTTTGTAGTCCTAGGTTCCTTTAAAGTTACCCAATACCAAAAAGAGAGGCCTTTTTATTCTTAGGTTACTGGGTATCCTAGACGAACAAACATTAAATCTAACGCACGTCGGCACCAGCACATTGGACGGACGCGGGAGTCAAGGTGTGCGGGGCCGTAACTGAGGAGTCTCTAGGAGTTCAAATTCTCGGGGCTTTAGGGCTGGGAGGTTTAGGGGTTTAGGGTTCAGGTTTAGGGTGGCGGGGTTTCAGAAGAGTTGCCAAAGATAAACTACTCAGAACCTGAGTCCACGGCACCTGTGAAATGTAGCCTTGACTACCCTCGAACCTTTTCCCGGGCTTGGAGCCGTAAAGACAGGGAAGCCAGCCTAAACCGTTAAACTTACCTTCAAACCGCCGAGCCGCAATTCCGCAATCTTCGTTTGAGGCAAAGTCTAAAGACCCTGAAGCCTACAAGGACTAAGGTTAAACCCGTAAAGCCAAAGCGATGAAGCCGAAATGCAAGCGCCAAAACTCTTAAGCTAAAGACTCTGAACCCCGAAGCCCTAAACTCTAAACCCGAAACCCCGAAGGAATTGGCCCAAATTACCAACCAACCCGTATCAAGCTCCTCCAAACAGTCCCCAGACCCCCGGGGAGGATCCAAAAAGTAGATCCCGTAATTCGGTTTCCTATAAAGTACCCTTAGTAGTATAGGGCCCCAAATTAGGGGATCTACTTTCTAGATCCTCCCGGAGGTCTGGGTCATTAACACAGCACTGTCAAATCTGCGTGAAAACGCTCTGATCTTGCACCCTAAACTTTGAACCCTAGACTTTAAATCCCTACTCCTCCCAGGGTCATGGTCATGCTTCGCTCGTCTGCAACTTCCGCACTCAGCTGGGAGATTTTGGCAGCGAGGCCGTTCGGGGCTGTTCAGAGGGGGAACTACAAGCGTGGCTAGAAAGTACCTAGTTAAGGCTTCCTATTTCGGGCGGAGGTCGAGACTGGAAAGCTCTTAGTCTTGGTTTCGCTTCTGGCAGGTTCTAGGTACCCTAGACCCTATACCCTAAACTCTAAACCCTAAGATCCTGAACCCGCAAGCCCTAAACCTGAAGGGGCGAGTCTCAGCTTCGGGTGCAGGGTTTTGGGGTATTTTGGAGGGGCTTTGAGCTTTAGGGTTTAGGGATCGGGGTTAAGGGTTCAGGGTTTATGGTTTTTGGGGTTGGGGTTCTGTTTGAGCTTAGGGTGTCGGGTTTAGGGATTCGGTTTGGGGCCTAATATGACGACAGGGTAGTGGAGTTGTTCTAATACTGAATATACCCGACACGCTAAGCCTAAACCTAAACCCCAGACCCTAAACCTCATTTGGGGTGTCCTTCTGAAGGGCTCGCGCTCTTTCGGGCGTACCAAATCTACGGGGACCCGTTTCCCACCACAAGCATGGCTGAGCAAATCCAATTTTTCCCATGGGCACACCGCCAAGGGTTCTCGATCTCCATTCCCCCCAAACCCAAACCCAGGACCCTAAACCCTAAAGAGATGGAGACCCTAAACCCTAAACCCTAAACCCTAACCTATTTGCAGACGGAAAAGGGCCTTCAAAAAAAAAGAGATGGACATGGCGAAGGCAGAGATTGAGCTGCTGAAATCGCCGCCCTCGCCGGATGGGCTGCCTTGCCAGGTCGCCTCCTCGCCTCAGCCTTGCGCAAAAGCTCGAGCGGCTTCGTGAAGCCCGAGAGCAGCAGCGCAACAGGTGTGCAACTTAGGGTTTGGGGTTTAGGGGTTTAGGGGTTTAGGGATTAGAGGTTAGAGGTTTAGGGTTTAGGGTTTAGGGGTTTAGGGGTTTAAGGTTTTAGGAGTTTAGGGGTTAAGGGTTTAGAATAAAGGGTTTAGGGGTTTAGGGTTTCGGGCCCCACCTTGGAAGACCCGACCTGGACCTCGAAACCGTAGAGATCCACAACCCCAAGCCCTGACCCACACGTCGAATCCGTTACACCTCCCAGCCCTGGACTTCAACCCTACGGTTGATGGACAGAATCCTGCATGACCCTAAGGACTCTAAACTATGGGAATTATGGTATCTTCCGTATAGTGGGTAATGCAGGATTTTGTCCATCAGCCGTATAAACCCCAAACCCTGCACACCTAAACCCTAACCCTAAAAATTGCACTTTCAAAAGCAACCCGAAACCCCTAGATCCTAAACCCGAAACCCCTAAACCCTAAATCCTGGACTTCAACCCTAAACCCCAGACCCTGCACACCTCAACCCTTTTCTGCCGCAGTCGCCAAAGTTCAGCAAGCTGGGAAGCGATTTGGCTCGGCCACAGCCCCTCGCACTTTTAGGGTTTAGGTTTAGGGTTTGGGCTTCGAGGGTTGAGGGGTTGGGGGTTTAGGGTTTAGGGGTTTACAGTGTTTAGGTTTTGGCGAGTTTGTGATACTTAGGAACCCTCCTGTGCAATACTGCTCTGTGATAAATCAAGGGGTGCCCCTCCTTCTGAGACCTCTACTAGCGTGACATGTTTTCTGAATCTCCGAGTTTGGGTTTAGGGTGTGTGGGTTGAGGGTTAAGTGCTTCAGTGTGTAGGTCTGTAGTGCCTGGAGTCAATGACGATGCTCAAGCTTTGAATGGTACCGAGGCTGTTTCTTGCTTGGTCGCGGTCCTCATCTAAGCAGACTGCATACACAAAGGGCCCTAAACCCTAAACCCTAAAACCCCAAACGCGAAACCCTGAGCCCACCGTTACGGAGAGCTCAATGTCTGGGAGTTGGGGCTTGAATCCAAGCTTAGAGTTCAGGTCTTTGGGTGTGTTTTTGTGAGTCAAGCCCGGTTCAGGGCTTAGAATTGCTGCGAGTTGCAGGACATTTATAGACTGCTCAGGGCTTCCGTTCCCCAACCGTCTCAGTGTTGCGTGGAAGATGAGTTTGTTCGAACTGGGTCTTGGGACACTATCTGCAGCCGTGATACACAGGGCTATACTCTCGGTAGTGCCAGATTCTCGCATGCACAAACTCACCCCGACGCCTGAACCCTAAGTTAAGACACCCTTACCCCTCAAACCCTGAAATCCTGAAACCTTGAAACCCTAAACTGCCCTAAACCCTGAAACCCTGAACCTGAGCACTGAAACCCCGAAGCTCTTAACCCTGAACTCCCAAATCTAAGTGCCTAACCCCCAAAGCACCCGATGTTCTTCAGGGCCTAGGATTTAAGGTTTTAGGGTTCGAGGTTTCGGGTTTGGGGTTATTAGGATTTAGAGTTTACGGGGTTTTAGGATGTAAGGTTTTGGGGTTTAGGGATTTAAGGTTTAGGGCCTCAGCCATAAGCCCTTGCCGAAACGGCCATCCGCATATACAGTCAGTGGCATGACTGAAACTGCTCCAGAAACCGTCGTTCTCCATGGATACCAAGCCGGCACAGGACAGGGGCTCCGAAAGAAACCCGCCTGGTTCTCTGCGACGAGATCAAGGCATTGGCCTGGGTGGGTTATTCAAGGATTTTTTGGTTTCAGGGTTTAGTTTATGTCTCGTTTTTGCAGGTAATGGGTTCATGGTTTTGGTATTTAGGATTTCGGCTTCAGGATTCAAAGCGAGATAACTGCGGGTGTCAAGTTTGGGTTTTCGGATCTGCGGCATAGTAGTCTAGCTGCGGACATGTGGCTACGGTTCTGATCTAATGTTTCGGGTCTGGGGCTTGCCACTTGCGGACTGGCCAAGAAAGAGGGTTTGGCATGTCAGGTTCAGGGTTTCGGGAGGGTTTCGGTCTTGGAGTTTCAGGACGTAGGTGGGACCGAGACTGTAGCTTGTTGAACACGGATCTTGTGTGATTCAGGTTTCGTTATGCGTGTGAAACACCAAACCCTGATCTCGTCCTGCGGTTTTTGAAGGACTTTAGGATGAAGGTGCACATCATCTTGACTCTCCACTGCAAGTTGGAGTGCAGAGATGACATGACTCTGATCTAGGGTCGAAACTTTTGATCACACATCCACCCTTGTTCTGTGTACGAAGGGCATACAGACTCTGGATTGTGGGTCATACGGGTTTCGGGAAGCCGGTTTCCGTGTAGAGTTCACTGACGCGGCTCTAGGTTTAATCGCCTGGTGTGCACCTAATCTGGAGTGAAGGCCAGCATGTTTCAGGGCAGCATGTGTGTGAAACATGTCCCCAAGTCCTGCCAAGCGAAGAGTCCTGCACCTCGAAACCGACCCCGATTGCCATCTCACATGACGGAAGGAGCCCAATCTTTTCTGCAGCATGCCCTTTCTCCCACTGCCGGTTGCGGAGCCATTCTCTGTGAAACTTGGAGCACTTGGAGGGGGTTGTTCTACAGGTTGGTGTTCAGGAGAAGCCATTGAGAATACTTTCCTTTATCGGGAGATCCTTGCAAAGAAGGCTGTCCTATAGCTTTTTACAAACCAAGTGTTTTGAGCAGTTATCGCCTTGCGTTCACAGGAAGGCCTTGTATAGAGGTTCGTAGTACTACCTTAAGGTTTCGGATTAGAGTAATCCTATTTTCAGCCCCAAAGCCCTGTTCCAATTGTATAGGTCCCTATACTCCGCCCCTCATAGTTGTCATCATATCCGTTATAGTCACCCTTACAGAACCGTGAAAAGGAACCTGAACAGTAACCCTACTCTAGTTATCAAGTCCCGTATCCTTATCCAAGAAACCCAAACCCCACATCCTCAACCCTAAACCCTAAACCCTATATGGGCAGCTTTCTCCTTTTAGGGTCCTTCTTGTAAAGGTGCCGTACTGTTTTGGGGATTTAAAATCGGACCTAAATTATCCGTAAGGTTGATGATATAAATCCTGCTTGACCCATATTAAGGAATAGACCCTAATTCCCATAGTCTAGGGTTATTAAGGTATTGCAGGGTTCATATCATCAACCGTATGAACACCAATGACTGAGGGGGGCGTTGTTGGACGGGCTGTGGTTTTGTCCGCTAAGGACCTCACAGTTTCTGGCGCTTCAAGACTAGTGACTAGTCACAGTCCTTTGTGTTGGTTACGCTAGTAATTGTATATATTTAGACTACCATCAGTAGTGCAATTATATTACATTTGTACCATAATAGCCAATATAATTATACCAGAATATACACCACAAACCCTATTCAAGTTCTTCAGGGCCCTATGCCACGCCGCATACACCTTCCAGAAATCCCTGAGCCCCCCAAACCCTAAGCCCTAAACCCTAAACTCCAAACCGCCCCCAAACTTTTTACCCGGAACGCGAGGAAGGCGAGCACTGCCGTGAATGCCTTCCACCTCGGCGGCCCATCGGTGGAGAAGATGCCGGTGCAGCTTCTGAGTTTTTGCCGCAGGTGTGGGGTTTAGGGTTTAGGGTTCAGGGTTTGGTGTTTGTGGTTGACGGTTTAGGCTTTAAGGTTTCGGGCCAAGTTTGGGGTCTAAGGCTTGTGGTTTAGGTTAGCGAGGCATTGCAGGTTGCGGAGTCTGTAGCACTCGCCTCAAAGGACGAGGGCTCGGCCGAGCCAGGACCTGTTCAGCCATGCACTCTGATTGCAACCTTGGGTACTTTGGATTTTGGTTGATGCAGTCCGAAGCTGTCTCAGGACATTCCTCCGTAGTACCACAAGCATAAAGATCATCAGCCCGATGTCTATACTTGTGCTGCTTGCTGCATGTTTGGAGAAGTATTCCCTGGCCCAGGAAGGCCATGCGGGAGGTCCTCTTCAGGGAGACGACCAGCCGTACAAAGGCAGGTTTGCCCACGTGAGAATAAGCCGTAGGATTTAACGATGAGCATAATGCTAATGATGATGATCATCATCACAATGGCGATGAACAGCAACAGCAGCAGCAACAGCAGCGGCAACAACAACAGCAGCAGCAGCAGCGACAGCAACGGCACCTACCACCGTCGACGACGACGACTACTGTTGAACCAGCAACTACTACTACTACTACTACTACGACTGCTGTTACTGCTACTGCTACTGCTACCACCACGACGACGACGACTGCTGCTGCCACTTTTAGCACTACTACTGCTACTACTGCTACTACTACTACTACTACTACTACTACTCCTACTACTACAACTATTACGACTACTAGGACTACTACGACTACTACTACTACTACTACTACTACTGCTGCTACTACTAGTACTATACTACTACTACTACTGCTACTACTACTACTACTACTAGTTCTATTACTACTACTACTACTACTACTACTACTACTACTACTACTACTACTACTACTACTATTTCTATTACTACTACTACTACTACTACTACTACTACTACTACTACTACTACTACTACTACTATTACTACTACTACTACTACTACTACTACTACTACTACTACTACTACTACTACTACTACTACTACTACTACTACTACTACTGAATTACTACTGTTCCTGCAAAATACTGCAGCTGCCACATCATCATCATCATCGTCATTTCTGTCATCTCGGCTTCATATTCTTCAACACGTCCATCACTATCAACTTCACTCGTACTATCCCAGTCACCACCAGTCACCACCAGTCACCGCCAGTCCACGCCAGTCGCCACCAGTCAATGCCAGTCACTGCCAGTCACCGCGAGTCACCACCATTCACCACCACTCACCACAAGTCACCACCACTCACCACAAGTCACCATCACCATCGCCACCATCACCAGAACATGACAGCTAAAGATTCCCCTTGCAGCCTACATCGTACGCCCTAAACCATATACCACCAACATCCCACTACACCCTAAACTGTCGACCTTAAGTACATCTAAAGTCCTAAACATCGCACAGCAGCCCACAGGCTGTAGACCTTAAGTACATCTAGAGCCCTGAACCCTAAACCCCTAAACCCCTATAACCCTAAACCATAAACCCCTAAACCCTAACACCCTAAACCCCAGACGCTTAAAGACCACAAAGTCCCCAACTAGGACCTAGAATAGGCCCTTGTTCCCTTTTTTAGGGTTCAGGTTCCCTTATAAGCCCCTTTAAACCAAAAAGGGCACCCTTTTTATTCCTAGGATACTCTTGGGTCTAGCCAAAAAAGGCCAACGACGTGGACCCCTTCCCGATGCCTCCGGACCTCCGGCCCGCGACCTCCGCGCTTTCGGAGGCCGGAGCTCGAACCTTCTTAGGGTTTACAGTAGAAGCCAGAAAGTTGGAATATCATTATCGTAACCCCTTTAAGGTAAATTATAGGGGATCCTACCATTAATCTATATTCCAACTTTCAGGAGTTCCCTTTAAGCGTTTAGGGTTTTAGAGTCTAGGGTTTTAGGGTTTAGGGTTCAGGGTTTAGGATTTAGGGTTTAGGGTTTCGAAGATAGAGTGGAATAGAAAGTTAGGCAGTTAGGTAGATAGCTAGATAATGCTAGATATCGAGAGTAGAAGACAAAGTTAGGTAGAGAGATAGACAATGCTAAAGAGATGGACAGATAGGTTGAAACTCCATAGTTGCAGCTTGCAGCACCGTGATGCCGTGATGTTCGGGGCTTCAAGAAAGCTCCATCCCCAAAACCTGAGCTGAGGTCGCAGAGAGCGTGTCGGTGAAGCCATGACGCAGTCGACACGCGGAAGTTTAGTGGTCTGCGCAGGTGCACTCATCGGAGGTCGGCAATGCAAGCTTGAAGCCTCCAAAGCTATCAGGCACTTAGGGATATAAGGGCCTTAGTAATTAGAATAGGGTTCCTTTAAAGGCATCAAAAAGGGACTTATAGTAGGGCTCAGGGTTTAGGGTTGAGGATACTCGTAAGGATGCGTTGCTCGGCGAGGTCTGGGATGCAGTGCACTGCTGCATCCTGTGTCAACAGCTTCTTGCAGACCTTGTTTTTTGTTTGCTCTGAGCCGGCAGTTTCTGGCAGTGAGTGGTGGCCAGCAGTATGTGCGAGTTTCAGAGCCCTAAACAGTAGAATCTGTACCATACGGATGCCGACGCGGGATGCCTGAGTTATGTCCAACAGTGCGATGATTTAGCGTTTGTGTCTTTGCTAGCGTTTTGTCCCCTTTCAATCCTAGCACGGCACGATCCCCGCAGTAAGCGCCTAAAACCTTCGTCGTATTTAAAGTGTAAAGTTACCACATGTGAGCTACATTCCCCGCTTTATGTTCAAGTTGCTAAACCCTAAACCCTAAACCCCTACGTAGGAAGCCCTCAAGATTGAGGATCGTTGCCTAGCATTCGTCATACATACAGAGGCGCGCAATGCGTGCAATGCATACAGTATCGAAAACATACAGCGCATGAAGTATAGTGCTTGATGTACATGCAGTGTGCTTACGAAACAACATGGTGCATGTACCAGTACATGACAAGTTGTATACTGTGTGCCTGGATACCCAAGGTACACAAGGCAAGTACACGTGTTGCAAAGCTCATAAACTACCTTTGTACCACGGAGTGCACAGGCAGATTGCCACGAGCACATCGGCGACGCACAGCACGCACTTCCGTACATAGCACATGTAGTATCTTAGAAGAGCACATCAAGTACATACAGTAAGGAAATTACCTGCAGCACACGCACACACACACACACACCAAACACGGAACTTGGCTTGATTCCACTTACCGTAACTGCTAGCCCACACGGCTCATATCGTGCGTCCAGAACAAGCAGCACGCACAGCGCGGATGATCCACAGATTGTACAGAAGTTCGTATCCGATGATTGCAATCCAATCAACACACAGACACACACACACACGGATACATATGCATATATGCCACATGTACATATAGGCACACAGATATATATATATATATATATATATATGTATAATATATATATATATATGTATGTATTTACATATATGTACATATATATATATGTATTTATATATATATATATATATATATATATATATATATGTATGTATACGTATATATGCAGACACACACACATATATGTATATACATATATATATATATATATGTATATATACATATTTATATATATGTATATATATATATACATATATATATGTATGTATATACATATATGTATATATACGTATGTATGTATGTATGTATGTATGCATGCATGTATGCATGTAAATATAATATACACATACACATACACGTACACGTACACGTGCACATACACATACATATACATACACATATACTTTTACATATACATATACGTATGCTTATACATATGCATATACAAGTACAAATACATATACATGTACATATCTGTACACACGTACATATGCATACGCACGCACACAGATCAATATTAGACAGATCGGCAGGAGGGTAAAGGTAGATTTATACACATAGGTATGTGTATGTTATGGAAAGCTCTCTGCATATGATGTGTTATTTCGCATCTCTCTCGCTCTGTCGCTCTTGCTCTCGTCTGTCCTGGCTGTCTCTCTGTCTCTCTGTCTCTCTGCCTGTCTGTCTGTCTGTCTGTCTGTCTGTTTGTACATATAGGTATATATATATATATGCAGAGAAAAATAGGAGTGTGTATTCACATTCATGGAAAATAAAGCATCTTCTACGCACATGTGTCCGCTCAGCTTCGTATTTGTGTATGTATGCACTTTGAATACTTTTTCGTATGTAATCCTATGCATGCATTGCATGTATGTATGTCCTCACGGCAGTGTGTATGAACAGGGCGCGTTAAGTTTTCATCTACGCATATGTTCTGACAGAGAGACAGAGAGACAATTTGAACCCCGCTCCTGCACGGCTGCCGGTGTCGTATGTACTCTTAACTCTTTCCGGCACTTTATCAAGTGCCTCCGTAAACGCCACTCTGTTCCTCAAGCCTGGCAGTGCCGGTTGCGCCGCCTTCTTTGAATGGGCTCAGCTTTTCGTATCGGAGACCTGGCCCCTTGTGTGCAAGCCTCAAAAACCCCAACCATCCCAACTGCCTTAAAACAAGACTCTCAAAGTACTTCTACTACTCTACTACTACTACTACTACTACTACTACTACTACTACTACTACTACTACTACTACTACTACTACTACTACTACTACTACTACTACTACTACTACTACATGCCAAGCCTAGCACCGGCACCATCATCGTTGTTGTACTTTCATCATCATCGTCATCATCATCGCCACTATTATTGCCTTCTTTGTCGTCACCAACACCACCAGTACAGTCACAGCAACCATCATATTGACACGTTTTTGTGCCTCTTCTTCTTCTTCTTGTGGTTGCGGCGGGGTTGTTGTGGTTGTTTGTCGTTGTTGTTGCTGTCTCGTCTCACATCAAGTGGCAATCATGAGTTGACTTCGCCGTCAAGGTAAGCTCAGCGTGACCATTTGATGCCGATGTCAGGCACTATGTACCTGAACAACTACGTCTGAAAGATCATATGAAGCCTTATCAATCTAAGAAGCTGACCAGGAAGCCTCCTCTTCTTTAGCAGAGCTTCGTCTAGGCCTCCTCTCCCAGACTTGGCTCCCACAGCCGACCGCTTTAGAAGCCCAGGCCCCACCAGAACACAAGATCCTGACTCATAAAACCCTATTCCAATCATTAAGGCCCGTATAATTATGGTACAATGAACCCAAAACCTTATTCTAATATTAAGGCTCCTATATCAATTATGGTACAATGGTCCCCAAGCCCGACTGCGAACCTCAAGCAGAAGCCAGATAAGTTCTTTTGTGGATCCAGCGGGCCAGCCGGTGAGCTAGGCTTGTAGTGGTGTTGTACGCCCGCAAGCGAAGGATCAGGAGTCAGTTAGGCTCATGCATTTTTGGTAATGCTTGCACAGAAAGCGGGTGCTTCAATCTGAGCTCCTTCCAAAGTTCCCTGAAGCCCTTGAGACCTAAATCTTGGCGTCCCGAGGCACCCGTCTGTCCATTCCGAAGCTTCCAAGAAGCCGTCGAACTTCAGTAGGCCGGGGCAGTCAAACCCAGCCCGAGTCTTTCATCGGAACTTTACAGTCTATGTGATATATTACGGTTTATGGTTTTCGAACGAGGTTTTGCAACATTCGCCTACTACTAGCACCTCTCAGTACAGCTACAGCATGCCTCGATGCCATGCCCCTACAAACCCTAAACCCGAAACTCTAACTCCTAAAACCCTAAGCCCTGAACCCTAGGTGTCGATGTGCAAGCCGGAACCCTCACCTACAGAAGCAGAAACCATGTGGGAAGTTCCGAAACGTAGCGCTGCACCCTTATAGAAAGGACCCTAGACGGGACCCTATTTAGAGAGCTGTCCAGAATCTCCGTGATCTACATGTCAAGCGCAGGTGACTTCCTCCATGTCCTCGCGGTACATGTGGGGTGGTATCAAACTACCACTAACCTAGCCTTCGATTGTGCCAACTGATCCTTGCATGATCTCACCCAAGAGGCTTCAAAAGCCCCCTAGAAACCCTAAACCCTGAACCTGTCTCCCCCACCCACATTTCTCATTTAAATGCTGAACCCAGAACTGTGGGCCATGGACGCAAACTGCAATGCGAGCCGCCACCCGAGCCCTAAACCCCATACTGTCCAGCATGATGTGACATACCACAAAGGCCCAAGCTAGATCAACATCATACTATGTACACATATATATATATGCATATATGCACATACCCATATGCTTTGGTTTACTGTGGTACAATAAACCCGAAACCCTGAACCCTAAACCCCCAAACCCAAAACCCTCAACCCTAAACCGTTACCAAACTCGAAAAATGTGAAGTAGAGCGTTGGAGGCCGCCCCGGCCCTCTCGTCCCCTGGCAAAGCCGGTGGGTAGCATTTTGAGAGAGGTGGAAAGCAGGAGGAGGGGTTTTTGTAAGTAGGGGTTTCTAGAAGGCACTGGATTAAGGGTCTAGGTTTAGGCTTAGGGATTATGTACCCCTAGACCCTAAGCCATAAACCCTGAAACCCTCAAGCCTAAACTCTGAAACCCTAAACCCTCAACTCTGAAACCCTAAACCCTAAGCCCTTCAACCCTAAATCTTACGATCGTAGGTTTTATTGGGCTTCAGAGTTTTTTTATGCAGGGATCTGGGGTCCGAGGTCCGAACCTCAAAACCCCCCGAGCCAGAACTGGGCCTTTAAAGGAGAGATCCCTGAATCCTAAACCCCGAAACCCCTAAAACCCTAAACCATAAACCCCTAAACCCTAACACCCTAAGCCCTAAACGCTTAAAGACCACAAAGTCCCCAACTAGGACCTAGAATAGGCCCTTGTTCCCTTTTTTAGGGTTCAGGTTCCCTTATAGGTCTCTTTAAACCAAAAAGGGCACCCTTTTTATTCCTAGGTTACTCTTAGGTCTAGTAAAGGAGAGGAGGAAAACGAGTAATAATAGTAATCATAGCAATACTAGCTATAATGGTAACAATAGTAATAGCAATACAAGCTACAGTGTAATAATCGTAGTAATAGCAGTACTAGCCATAATGGTAACAGAAGTACTGATAGTTATCATAGTTAGGGAGCCTAGTTTAAGCTACCATGCGAGGTGTCTTAAAGTAATCTCAAAGGTTCCTGGTTATGGGAACTGAAATTACGCTGGCCTCTGACCCTTAAGCTGCAAGCCCTGCTTCAAGGATCATGGGACTTGGTAACTAGGGT